AAGCATCTGCTTTATTAATTGTTTCCTGTCTAATAAATTAAATTTTATTTGAATATTAGATATTAGTATAATCAATAGAAATATTAGAATAAGTTGTTTTAGACGCAATATAAAGTAATTAATTTAATTAATAAGCATATATTAATTTCTGTCTTGCACTTTGCTTACAATTACAGAAATTTTTACTCAAGGCTTTCAGTAAACAAAAAAATATTCATAATATATGTAAACAATGCAGATAGCAGTTAAATATCTGCTTGATGTATATTAATTAAATAGAACCATGATTAGTTTAATTTAGAGATATTATCAGCACATTTGGCTCTATTCATCAATCGGTTTTCATAAATATGCAAGCCAGGTCAAACTAATACATCCTTACTTATAAATTAATAATCAGTTTAGCTACTGTTTAATGATCAATATGTAACAATTAATAATTAATAAAATAAATTAATTATATTACCCTTATTAAAGTTATTTGTTTGCGAATCTATTAATTGTATGATGGTTAATAAAGCGAACAGATAAAATTTCTTCTAATCAGAGACAGAAGTATTACTTACAAATATTATATAATTTAAACATTTTATCATTCTATAGTAATATAGTATTTTAATTTTTTAAAAGTTATAAAAAGAACTATATGATTGTTAAGTGAAAAAAAAAAAAATTCAAAAAACTTAAAACAAATAAACTTATTTTGATTTAACTCTAACATGTCTGATTCCACTTCTGAAGATAAATTTGACTCTAATAATGATATCATTTTTGAAGAGAAGGAAGTTGATTCCCCCAATAGTGTAGAAAATGAGAAAAATGCAGTTACTACCATGTCACTACCACAGGAAGAAGTCTCATCGGGATGGTTTTAATGTAAATTATATTAAGAATAAGACGTCACTAGTGTGGAATTTTATGAGTGAGCAAATAGAAGATGATAAGGTTATTGCAAGGTTATATGGAAAGTGTGAACAAAAATTTAGCCCAACAACAACTACTGGGTTTTAAGTAACCATCTCAACAATAAGCATAGTATAGAACTTACCCTAAAGAGAAATAGCTTAATCCAAAGACCTTATGGTAGAGGTGATACTCAATACAAGAAAGAGTGTTTTGACGCTATTTTGAATCTTGTAGTTTGCTGTTAACTTCTATTCATGATTATTAAAAATCCCTGGTTTCAACAAATAGTAAACATATTTGATCCAAGATATAAGCTTCTATCACATCAGTATATAAAAAAAGAAATAATGTATCAATTTAAAACTCAGCATGATCTTGTTGCTAATGAACTCGGAAGCCTCACTACCAAAGTTGCTCTTACTGCGGACATTTGGATATCTGTTTCAAATCAAGCCTACCTAAGTGTAACCATTTACTATATTAATAATAAGTGGCAAATGCATTGATTATTATTAGATCTTATTCATTTTGAGCATAATCATATGGCTATATCAATTAAAGAAAAACTCTATGAGCTTTGCAATACTATAAATATTAGTGATAAAGTAATCATACTCATGACTGATAGTCACATGGCGATGGTATTGTGTGGAAGCATAATTGAGCAAGAATGGGATTTACAAAAGTTTTGCAGTTTTGCCACTATCATTGTTCGGCACATGCCCTTAATCTAGCTATAAGCCATGGAATGCAACTTAAATATTAGTAATTGGTAAGGTTCAGAATTGTGTAAACAAGATTAAGCACTTAACTATTTTATGTGATGCACTTCGCCAATTTTGTGAAATGAACCGAAAAAGTTATGTCAAGCCAATTGTTGATATAATTACACACTGGAACAGCATGTATAACATGCTTTACAGGTTCAAAGTAATGCGTAATGAGTTGAGTTTGCTTGTAACTGCATATAAAAAACAACTAGAGACTGATTATCTTAATGATAATGAATGGGAGGTTGTAGATAACATGGTTGAAATATTAGAACCTATCCCTTAAATTGTTTTGCAGCCAAATTTGCCTGCAAACTTTTTTAAATTTTAAAATTTTTTAATAAAA